CCCCCGATAATTCTTGTTATTGACTATCTCAGGTACTCCAGGATCACTGTGCCTTAGGTGTACCCCTCTCTCCTTTTTAAAAAAATACTTTTATTGGGGGCTCATACTTCTCTTATCACAATCCATACATTCATCCCGTGGGTCGAGCACCTTTGCACATCTGCCGCCATCATCATTTTCTAAGCCTTCTCTTCCCACTTGTGCCCCTGGTATCAGCTCCCCATTTGTGTCCCTCTCTTTGACGCTCTCATAATTCTTCTTCCCTCTGCCCCTCCTTTCAGCGGACCCCCGAAGTGAGAGTGAGCGGGTTGAATTCTTTAACTTGGTACTGTTATTCTGTGAACTCATCCGACACGATGTATTCTCCCACAACATGTATACTTGTACCCTCATCTCCCGAGGGGATCTTGCCTTTGGAGCCCCTGGTCCCCGGCCTCCCTCTCCCTTTGATGACCCTGCTGATGATCCAGAGCGGAAGGAGGCTGAGGGCAGCAGCAGTAGCAAGCTTGAGGTGAGTGGGCAGTTCCTGGCATTAGATTGGGTCTTTGGGTATTCCCATCTTCATAGCACCTAGAGGCCTTGGTGAGTCTCTTTCACATAATGCTAAGGGCAGTATGTGCCTAGCGCTTTACAAAGCAACTTTCACGTCATTTATTTCATTTGATCCTCAACAACGTACTTTGGGAGGTCCTCACCCCCATTTTAAAGCTTAAAGGAACTGAGCCCTACACTGGTCACGGCCCCAGTCCAGATTCTGCACTTCTCCCAATATGATCTCTGCTGGCCATTTTCTCTGTTAACTTTCCTAAATGGTGGGGAACATTGCCTTAGAGCTACAGCAGTGCCCCTTGTGTTCTTGCTCTCAGGATCCAGGGCTCTCTGAATCTATGGACATTGACCCTAGTTCCAGTGTGCTCTTTGAAGACATGGAGAAGCCTGACTTCTCAGTAAGTGGAATCCTGAGTGTAGCGCCATCCACCCTCTTAGGTCTTCCCCTTATGCCGCTTTTGGGACTTTCTCTCTACCTCCATGTCCATTTTTCCTTCTAAATGCTCTTCTCTTTCACCATTCTCTTAGTTGTTCTCCCCTACTATGCCTTGTGAAGGGAAGGGTAGCCCATCCCCAGAGAAACCAGATGTTGACAAGGAAGTGAAGCCCCATCCCAAGGAGAAGATAGAAGGAACCCTGGGCATTCTTTACGACCAGCCACGACATGTGCAGTATGCCACACACTTTCCCATTCCCCAGGTACTGTTGATTAGCCAACACCTGGGATGGTCTACTCGTGAACCCAGATGTCTTTGCAAGGGATGTGGTGGGGAGCTGGAGGTGTTCTCAAGGGGGTGGGCACGTTGGGAAGGGTGGTGTGCATTGGGATGCTGAGGGGTGCGGGGCAATGTTAAACAGAGGGCAAGAGATGTGTACTGCAGTCTGATGGTGCTGCTGGGATGCAGGAGGAGTCTTGCAGCCATGAGTGCAACCAGCGGTTGGTCGTACTATTTGGGGTGGGAAAGCAGCGAGATGATGCCCGCCATGCCATCAAGAAAATTACCAAGGATATCCTGAAGGTCCTGAACCGCAAGGGGACAGCAGAAACTGGTGGGTTTGAAGCTCCTGAAACAGATCTCCCCCCAGGAATTACCCTAGTCAGTCTTCCCTTCCCCAGCATAGGGAATACCCAGTCATGTCCCAATGTCCTGTCTCTTGGAGTCTCCTGAGAGCGCTAGTCCTTTTGAAACTTCCCCCTCATTCCCCCCCTCTGCAGACCAGCTTGCTCCTATTGTGCCTCTGAATCCTGGAGACCTGACATTCTTAGGTACCTCACAGTAAGCCCCCTACTGCCCTTCCTCCATTTCCCCTCCCTCAACCTAGCACCTCCCTGTATGTATTCCTCTCAGGTCCACATCGGTTGTGGTCCTCTAAACCTTTGCTTCACTGTCCCCTTCATCCCTTCCCTGACCCTCCCTTCCATCCTCCCCTTTGTCCCTTCCTTCCTCTACCACTCCCTCCTCCCTCCTTCTCATAGCCTTCTCTCCTACCCTCCTCCCCACCCCCAGTGAACCAATTACTGTCTCTGGCCTGACTGCTTCCCTTTCAACTGTCCCCTCAGGTGGGGAGGATGGGCAGAAGCGGAGGCGCAACCGACCTGAAGCCTTCCCCACTGCTGAAGATATCTTTGCTAAGTTCCAGCACCTTTCCCATTATGACCAACACCAGGTCACGGCTCAGGTGTGAGCCTAAGTCCGGCCCCCTCCGGCCCCCTCACCACATTAGCTCTCTGCCCGACTTTCCTTCCTTTCCCTTTGAGCTGGTTTCCCCCTAGGCAAGCTGAACGTGCTGGTCTCATTCCCATTCACCACTATGCTTTCTTGTGTTTCTGGTGTTTCCCACCCCTTTTTACTCCTGTCCTTTTACCCACTTTTTACCCACTGCCCTTATCAGGTCTCCCGGAATGTTCTGGAGCAGATCACAAGCTTCGCCCTTGGCATGTCCTACCACTTGCCTTTGGTGCAGCATGTGCAGTTCATCTTCGATCTCATGGAGTACTCACTCAGCATCAGTGGCCTCATCGATTTTGCCATTCAGGTGGGGGAGTTGTGAGGAGATGAGGGTGGCAGAAGAGCTGGCGCTATATAAGGGTCATGAGGGTGGGTAGAGGCTCAAGTCAGGGTCTGCTGCTATGTGGATGGCAGAGAGACTAGCACAGGGTGGATGGAACACGAGCTAAGTCTGAAGAAATAGATTTCATTGCTCCTTGGGGAGGCTCAAAAGACAGATTGAAGCATTGGTCGCAGACCATCCCACTGTGGAGTGAATAGAACTATATCCGGGAGACTGGTTGGATCATTGCGCTAGCCTGTATCCCTAATAGCAAAAAGGACAGGGGCATGTGGCAACGAGAGCCTTTCTGTACGAAAGTGACTAGCAGGAAGGGGCTTAGGCCTGGCTTTGCGACTTGTTTTCTCACAAGAAGGGAGGTTATAACATGCGGGGCCTCTTCTTATATCGCACCACCTCCTACTCTGCTAGCTGCTGAATGAACTGAGTGTAGTTGAGGCTGAGCTGCTTCTCAAATCCTCGGATCTGGTGGGCAGCTACACAACCAGCCTGTGCCTGTGCATTGTGGCTGTCCTGCGGCACTATCATGCCTGCCTCATCCTCAATCAGGACCAGATGGCACAAGTCTTTGAGGGGTAAGCAAAGGCATCAACACATGAGGCTTTGGTGAATGCTGTTAGAAGAGGGCTGGGGAAATCATGTGGGGCTCTCTTGGTGGGGAAATGCATGCTACTCAAGTGGGAAAGGAATGGTATTACCAAGAGACTTTGTTTCAAGGGACTGTGGTGCCCCATCCCCCTGCACACCGTCTGCTAATCCCCCTGACCTTTCTCTGCGTGATAGGCTGTGCGGTGTAGTAAAGCACGGGATGAACCGGTCAGATGGCTCCTCTGCAGAACGCTGTATCCTAGCATATCTCTATGATTTGTACACCTCATGTAGCCACTTAAAGAGCAAATTTGGGGAGCTCTTCAGGTAAGAGAGGTGGACGGTAAGAGGTAGAGTGTGGGACCTGGTCCCGTCTCTTTCCCGTTACCAACACAGCTCAGGAGCCCAGCCCAGCCCGGGACCCTGCTCTCTATCCAGGGTCACTTATGGACTGTGTCCACCACGTGTTCTTGCCTTGGTGAGAATGGTCTGTGTTCTCAGCAACCTGGCCTCCAGCCCCTCTGTGGGGCCCCCATTCCTCCCCTATATCTCCCAAAGCCCGTGTTCGTGTTCTCACTTGGTTCTTCTGCCTGGTCTGCCTTGTCCTAGCCCTTTAGCCTGTCCCAGGGCCCCTTGTCCCTCACTTTTTCCTCTTTATTTTCCCCTTCCCTGGTCTCCCCTCACCCGCCACCTCACCAGAACTTTAACACTGCCATCTCCTTTCCCCTACCTCGGCAGTGACTTTTGCTCAAAGGTGAAAAACACCATCTACTGCAACGTGGAGCCGTCAGAATCAAATATGCGGTGGGCACCTGAGTTCATGATTGACACTCTGGAGAACCCTGCCGCCCACACCTTCACCTACACTGGTCTAGGCAAGAGTCTTAGTGAGAACCCTGCAAACCGCTACAGCTTTGTCTGTAATGCCCTTATGCACGTGTGTGTGGGGCACCACGATCCTGATAGGTATGTGATGTCCTGAATGCGGAATGGGCATCTGTACTACGCCTACCTGATCGTAGGAGGGATGAGATACCTAGGAAGTACTACATCCTTGATTGCTACAGGGGTGGCTGGAAGTAAAAAGTGAACCAGTGGGGGGGGGGGTATTGTGGATCATGGATTTCTTTAAGGCTGCTTGTCCTTGTCCCCAGGGTGAATGACATCGCAATCCTGTGTGCAGAGCTGACCGGCTATTGCAAGTCCTTGAGTGCTGAGTGGCTAGGAGTGCTGAAGGCCTTGTGCTGCTCCTCTAACAATGGCACTTGTGGTTTCAACGACCTCCTCTGTAACGTAGATGTGAGCCTGAGGGTGGAGTCTTGCTGGGAATGGGCCGTTACCTGGGTTGGACTCTGGTCCCGGTAATCCAGGGAGTAACGAGGCAGGGGCTTTGAGAGTGGAGACCTACAGCTTTGAGTAAGTGCCCCTTCTCTACCCTGACTCACCATGTCTGTCTGCTTTTTTCTCCAGGTCAGTGACCTGTCTTTTCATGACTCCTTGGCTACTTTTGTGGCCATCCTCATTGCTCGACAGTGTTTGCTCTTAGAAGATCTGATTCGCTGTGCTGCCATCCCGTCACTTCTTAATGCTGGTGAACAACCGAATCTGAACCACCACCACCACCCCACCCACCCCCGGTTTAACCGACCCCCAATTTCAATCCACACTTATGGCTTACTGTGGGAACCCCCACGGTCACTCCCTGACGCCCTAGTCACTGTGGGAACCCCCACGGTCACTCCCTGACGCCCTCACTGGAGGGCCTGCCCTTCTTTGAAGGGGCCTGCTTTTTTTCTAACCTGTGATTTGCAGCCTTGATCTTTCTTTTCTTTTTAACAGTTTTTTTTTATCCCTTGAGCCACTAGCCTTTCATTGTGTAAGAGTCCCGCGCTCTCTCCATCGTTGGTTTCTTTTGTCTCCTTTTACCTTACCCTTACTCCCTGATTATTCCCTCCACCCACAAACCTATATCCAGTACTTGTTTCATCCTTTCCAGATCAGCTGTTTTTCGTTTTAGCTTGTAGTGAACAGGACTCTGAGCCAGGAGCCCGGCTGACCTGCCGCATCCTCCTCCATCTGTTCAAGACACCACAACTCAACCCTTGCCAGTCTGATGGAAGTAAGTAACCTGAATCTGGACCAGCCAGCCCTAGAAAGTCTAGCTACCCCGCCCCCACTATTCCTATACTCTTGCTTCCCCTGACTTCAGCTCCCTCCCCAGATAAACCTACGGTAGGAATCCGCTCCTCCTGTGATCGCCACCTGCTGGCTGCCTCCCAGAACCGCATCGTAGATGGAGCTGTGTTTGCTGTTCTCAAGGCTGTGTTTGTACTTGGTATGGGGGTAGGAAGGGAGTGGTGCCAGAAGTATGTGTAAGGTAGGGTGCCACCTAAACTATAAAGGATAGTCTCCCTCCAAAAGATGGGCTCTCTGAACTTTGGAGAGGAGGGAAAGAAGGACAGTATATTTATGTCTCAGAGGAAAGGATTTGGGGTGTTTCTGCCTCTGTGAGTTTGGGTCAGGTCTCTACATGGCATTCTGATTCTGTCCTTCCCTCCTTATCTCCCACCTGTGAACCACAGGGGATGCTGAGCTGAAGGGTTCCGGCTTTACTGTGACAGGTGGAACGGAAGAACTTCCAGAGGAGGAGGGAGGAGGTGGCGGTGGTGGTAGTCGAAGGCAGGGGTGCCGCAACATCTCTGTGGAGACGGCCAGTCTGGATGTCTATGCCAAGTATGTGCTGCGCAGCATCTGCCAGCAGGTCAGTTTCACCTTCTCCCCGTACTTCCTAAATGCTTCTGTATAATATGTGCCTGTTTCCAGCTCGTGACCATGCCCAGTCCCCACTATAGATCATGTCCCTTCCCAACTCCTGATCCATATCCCTTATTCCTAACTCCCTCACTGGTTGCCCCCAGTCCCCTGATTATCAGCTTCCTCAGGAATGGGTAGGAGAACGTTGCCTTAAGTCGCTGTGTGAGGACAGCAATGACCTACAGGACCCGGTGTTGAGTAGTGCCCAGGCCCAGCGCCTCATGCAGCTCATCTGCTACCCACATCGATTGCTGGACAATGAGGATGGGGAAAACCCCCAGCGCCAACGCATTAAGCGTATTCTCCAGGTATGCCAGTGTGGTGGGAAGAAATAACAGACACCACGCCTGGAAGAAATACTGGGAACCTAGCGGAGAGAGAAAGAATGGAAAGGTTAAGTGAGAGGAAGATAAGCAGCCATGTGGGAGAATGAGCACTGGCTTCAGCATGAGCTAAGAAGTAAATTCAGTGTGGTCTGTATGCAATAGGAGAACCTTCTGTGAGAGCGCAGCTATCTGGAGTGAAAGTAGCTTATCAGTGGGAGCCATCGTATCTGGGAAACATCGGGGTTTTTTTCACTTTGTGTATTTGGCATTTTGCTCATGTCCTGGTAACTGAATAGTTACCAGGTGCTAGGTGCTTTCCATGCCTTTTAATTACTCTTTACAGTCTTATGAGTTAGCTATGGATATCTCTGTTTGACTGGTGCGAAAACAGCCTTGAAAAATCTCAATAATTTTCACAAGGTAGCACAGTAAATTTAGAGTCATTGTGTGAACTCTGACAGCCCTGTCCCCTTTTCATTTTGTCACACTGCTTCAGAGACTCAGATGACAAGAGGGTAGAAAAATAAAGCCATTGAGGGAAAGCTAAAGGACTGGAGTCTCTTCTGCTCAGAGGAGATAAGGCTGAGGGAAATGGGGGAAAAAGCTTGGTGAGCAGTAGTCTTCAGGTCTGTAAAGAACATTAAGAGATTGTGAGCAGCTGATCTCATATAAGAGAAGTGGCCTTTACATTTAATATTGAGGATGTAGGCTAAACATTAAGCAGAACTTCCTAATGCTGAGGGTTGTTGGGCTCTGAAAAAAAGAAACGACAGAAAGGTGGGATAACTTTGCTGAATCTTCTGTAAAATCTGATAGATTTTTCAACCATTTTAGATTATTTAAATGTTGTCTTCCCTAAAGTTGGGGGAATGGAGATCCCATTTAGACCTCGAGGAGTCTGTGTATTGAGCTTGTAAGAGATCTTGAATTAGCCATAGGATAAAGGGTGGCTGGGGGTGACACACGGATGTCTAGCTGGGACTGGGGCCTTTGTTACAGAACCTGGACCAGTGGACCATGCGCCAGTCTTCCTTGGAGCTGCAGCTTATGATCAAGCAGACCCCTAACAATGTGAGTCATGCCTGGAGCCTCCCTTTCCCATGCCCGCTTTCAGCTTCATGTGTTAACGAGGTTGGCCACCATAGAAGAGCGTAGACCATACCCTTGAATTCATGGAGATAGGAAGAGGCAGGGGGGGAGGAAATGAGGAGCTGGTATCAAGGGCTCAAGTAGAAAGCAAATGTTTTGAGAATGATGATGGCAGAAAATGTACAAATGTGCTTCACACACACACACAAGAGTTGTAGGAGCCCCCAATAAAATGATTTTTTTAAAAAGAAGGGGCAGGAAGATGGCAAATGTGTGGGCCAATGATAAGGGAAATAGATTGAAAGTTTGAGGCTCTGAACTATGGGGAAGGGTGGCTTTTTCTGTGACAAAAAAAATGTAAGGAGGTTTGTAAAGCAGAAGACAGTGGGGAGATGGAGAAAGAGGAGGTGCTAAAAGAGCCTAGCTCTGAGCAGTTATGTCTCTACTCTGTCATAAATCTTCGTAGATGCCTTCCTTCCCCCTCACTTCCTATCTCTCCTACCATCTGTTCTCTTTCACCCTCAGCTACCTATTTAGCACCCCTGTGCCATGCCTTTCTTCCTCCCCAGGAGATGAACTCGCTCTTAGAGAACATTGCCAAAGCTACAATTGAGGTTTTCCAACAGTCAGCAGAAACAGGGTCATCTTCGGGAAGTGCCGCAAGCAACATGTCCAGCAGCAGCAAGAGCAAGCCTGTGCTCAGGTTGGGCAGAAATGTATTTGGACTCATCCCCTCTGAGTTTCCTAGTAGCATGAATGAATTCAGCTACATAGAGAGTCTGGACATGTCCATCAGGGAAAGGAGGGAGAATTGTTTTAACCACCTCTGGCGCCACCATATAACTCTGTGTACTTCATTTGTCCCTCAGTTCCCTGGAACGCTCTGGTGTTTGGCTGGTGGCTCCCCTCATTGCTAAATTGCCCACCTCAGTCCAGGGGCATGTGTTGAAGGCTGCGGGGGAAGAATTGGAGAAGGGTCAGCACCTGGGTTCTTCTTCCCGCAAAGAACGGGATCGGCAAAAGCAAAAGAGGTAAAGGGACTAGAAACTGAGTTGAGGAGAGGAGGCAAGACCAGAGAACGAGAAATATTGGAACTGAGGAATGAGAATAATAATAATAATAGTATTTTAGAGGATCAATATGGGCATGGTGAGCAAGATCCTAGTAGTAGTGTCTGGGGCTGGGAAGAATGAAGTTTGGAAGTCTCTATGCCTGTTCCCCAGTTGCTTTGCTTTGCTTTGCTTTCTGTCTCTAGCATGTCCTTATTGAGCCAGCAGCCCTTCTTATCCCTGGTGCTGACTTGTCTAAAAGGACAGGATGAGCAACGTGAAGGACTCCTTACCTCCCTCTACAGCCAGGTGCACCAGGTACAGGACTGGGCCATGGAGGTGGGCAGGAGGGCAGAGAAGGATGAGGCTTATCGTGTACCCTGGACGTACTGGGTACTTTGGGATGGAAATGAGAAGATCCCTGAACGGTAGGGTTGGTTGGTTTTTCTTACATTTTTATTTCTTTATAGTATTATACTTGTTTCTATCCTAGATTGTGAATAATTGGCGAGATGACCAGTACTTAGATGATTGCAAACCAAAGCAGTTAATGCATGAGGCACTCAAACTGCGGCTCAACCTGGTGAGAGGGGTTGTTGGAAAGAAGAAGGCATGAGGCAGGGCCAGAAGTGCAGAGTAAAGAAGCCTCCCCAGCCTGGAGGAGTGAAGACAGAGGCTATAGTCCAGAATCAGCTCAGCTCTTCCGAAGGCTGCAGGGCCTACAGTGGTTAAAGGAACTCAGTCTTTGTGGTCAAGGTCCAATTGCGTGTGTACCTTGGACCCTGACAGGGATTTGCCTTAGTGGTCCGATTCTGCCTTGTACCTAGAAACATAAACATTTTAAACTCGAATGGGATCCTAGAAGTCATTTAGCCCAATTCCCATCATTTTATATAGAGGGGGAAACTGAGATCTAGAAATGTCAAGAATTGAGTTATTAGCCTGAGATCATATGGCAGGTCAAAGACAGAACCAGAACATGACCTCAGGTGCCCTAACTCGACTCGGGTTCTGATTGTTTCCTTGCTGGATTTTGCTCCTGAGCCATCTGACTGACTTGCTGTGGTTCTGACAGGTAGGGGGCATGTTTGACACAGTGCAGCGCAGCACCCAGCAGACAACAGAGTGGGCTGTCCTCCTGCTAGAGATCATCATCAGTGGCACCGTCGACATGCAGTCCAACAAGTAAAGCATCCCCACCCCTCCCTTCCGTTCCCCCGGTGCCCGCCCCAGGCATACGTCCACTGAGACTGGTATGGGTGTGAAGACTATGGACCGTGGTCCTAGGTACTCCCTATTTTGATACCTTTCCATTGACTGACTAAGGACCTCTCCCTGTGTGTATCCCATTTTGATGCCTTTTTCTATCATAACCTCTTCTCGGTGTTGACTCCCTGCCTTCCCATCACAGTGAGCTCTTCACTACAGTATTGGACATGCTGAGTGTACTCATCAATGGGACACTGGCTGCTGACATGTCTAGTATCTCTCAAGGCAGCATGGAGGAAAACAAACGTGCTTATATGAACCTGGTGAAGAAGCTGCAGGTGAGCAGAGGAGGTGGGGGCTAGGCTTTGGGGGGACTGGACTCTTGGCTCCCTCTCCCTTGACTGCACATCTGCTAGTCAACCTCAAAGATTTCTTTCTGGTCTCTACCCTTCCATGATATCTCCCCACCCCCCTTGTCATTCAGAGGGTTTACTAAGTGTCTTCTCTGTGCCAGGTTCTGTGGTCTCCCCTGAGATTTCCTGTCCCTCTTATTTCATATGCCTGAACTCTTGTCCCCTCTTCCTGTGCCTGTAGAAGGAGTTGGGGGAACGCCAGTCGGACAGTCTGGAAAAGGTTCGCCAGCTGCTACCATTGCCTAAGCAGACACGAGATGTCATCACATGTGAGCCACAGGGCTCCCTTATTGACACCAAGGGCAACAAGATTGCTGGCTTTGATTCCATCTTCAAGAAAGAGGCACGTTCCATCGTTTTCCTACCTCTAGCCCCCTACCTTGTTTCTTCTTTGAGCAAGAGCCTTCCCTATAGTGTCTTCTGAACTATAATGCATGCATCAGGCTAGGGAGTCTATTGGACTTGCTGCTAAAAACTGCCTTTGAGGGTTTGACCTAATCAATTAATGTTCCTGCTATTTCCTGTCCTCAGCTTTAGAGCCTCACCCTCTCTCCTTGGTCTCTCCCTTCATCCCCGCCTACTTTTTAATAGTACCCCACTTTCCCTGCCCTATCCTACCCTTCCCCTGCATACCCCCTGCTCCCATCTGCCTGCCCGATAGCCCATATCTCTTTTATTCCTGTATTACTCCAACCCCAGCCCTACCCATCTCTCTGCGCTCTTTCTGTTTCTCTCTCTCTTTTTAGTTGCAGTATTTCTTAAATGACCATAATAATTGTGTATAGTTGAAAGAGGGGGTTTACATCTAAATTCCAAGCTCATCGGTCTTCTCTTCCTCTCTCATATGTCTATATCGATGTTTCTCTTTCCGGATGCCGCTGTCTTTCTCTCTTTCTGCTTCTTCCCCTGGCTTTACCTCTCCCTTGACTCCATCTTTCCCCTCCAACCCGTCCTCCACTGCTCCACCCGCCCCCCCCCCTGCCTGTTAGTTTTCTCCGGTGTGTGTCAGTGTGTGCGTCTGTCTGTGTCTGCCTCTCACCGTTTCCCCTGAGTCCACCTATGACTTTTTCCGTTCTTTCGTTGTCAACAGATACTTTACTCTCTTAAGTTTTCAAGGTCGCTTCCGTTTTCCAAGTCTCAACAGCTCTTGTTTCTCACTTTCTGGAGCAGGGTCTACAGGTTTCCACCAAACAAAAGCTCTCTCCCTGGGATCTTTTTGAGGGATTGAAGCCGTCAGCACCCCTCTCTTGGGGCTGGTTTGGAACGGTCCGGGTCGACCGGCGAGTTGCTCGAGGAGAAGAGCAGCAACGGCTGCTGCTCTATCACACCCACTTGAGACCCCGACCCCGGGCCTATTATCTGGAGCCATTGCCTCTGCCGCCAGAAGATGAGGAACCCCCTGCTCCCACACTCTTGGAACCTGAGAAAAAGGCTCCAGAGCCCCCTAAAACTGACAAACCTGGCGCCGCTCCACCCACGACTGAGGAACGCAAGAAGAAATCCACCAAAGGCAAGAAACGTAGCCAGCCAGCCCCCAAGACAGAGGTTAGTGCCTCCAACTATTGAAGTTTTTCCCATCTCTTTTTCTTCCTGATTATTTTCAGTTTCTGGTCTGTGGAAGTGGTGGTGGTGGTGGGGTGGGGGTGGGGGAGATACAGAGTAATAATAAAAATTAACCAGATGAATCCAGCTGCTCTTCACCCCACTTACCCCACTTCACCCTACCCCATGGAGCCACCACCTCCTCACCTTCTCCCTTTGCCATTCGTACAGGACTATGGCATGGGCCCATGTCGGAGTGGCCCCTATGGTGTGGCAGTGCCCGCAGACCTCCTACATCACCCCGCTTCTGGCTCTATATCCCATCTTAGCTACAGGCAGGGTCCCATAGGCCTGTATACCCAAAACCAGCCACTTCCTGCAGGTGAGTGCCAGCTGCTTCGAATGACTGCGTTACCTGAACATTCCCCCCACTCAGGGGAAGAGCTGTGGGTGAGTAAGTCACTGAGCAAGGGATGAAAAGATGAGAAGTCCACCTACTTTCCTTTCCAGGTGGCCCTCGGGTGGACCCATACCGCCCTGTGCGATTACCAATGCAGAAGTTGCCAGCCCGACCAACTTACCCTGGAGTGCTGCCTACAGCCATGCCTGGTGTCGTGGGATTAGATCCCTCTTATAAGGCTTCCGTGTACCGACAGCAACAACCTACAGTGCCTCAAGGACAGCGCCTCCGCCAACAACTCCAGGCAAAGATAGTGAGAGGGGCAGTAAGGAGGGCTATCAGAGAGAGGGGCTTTTTAGTGTCGCAGGACTGAGGAAACACGTGGGATCTTCACAAGGACCCGCAGGGCAGGAGATGCAAGAACTGAGTTGGGGGAAAGTGTTTTCCTGAGTTTGAGTGTCTCCCCTTTTTTCCCTCTAGCAGAGTCAGGGGATGTTGGGACAGTCATCTGTCCATCAGATGACTCCCGGCTCTTCCTATGGCTTGCAGACCTCCCAGGTAAGGGCAGAGGGTTCTAAGAGTCAGAGAGAGTGAGGCAGGCTGATCCAAGCACTCGTGGATATGACTCTTTGCTCTCTTTTTCCTCCAGGGCTACACTCCTTATAGTTCTCATGTGGGATTACAACAACACGCAGGCCCCGCAGGTACCATGGTGCCCCCCAGCTACTCCAGTCAGCCTTATCAGAGCACCCATCCTTCTACCAACCCTACTCTTGTAGATCCTACTCGCCACCTGCAACAACGGCCCAGTGGCTATGTGCACCAGCAGGCCCCAACCTATGGACATGGACTGGCCACTCAAAGGTACCCAAAAGTAGTGCTGGGTTTGGAAGTGACCCCAAAGTGTAAAGGGGAGGGAGGGAACATTTCACTTGGGAAAACCTGTGTCTGAAGGTGATGGGACTGGTGAGAACCTTTTGAGCTACTGAGAACATTCATCTTGAGCCACACATCCAGGTAGCTACCTGTAAAATGCTGGAGCTGGAAGGGCCATGGAGACCAATAGTCACAGCCTACTTCCTGACACTGCTTTGAGGCCCTGAGAGGGGCAATGATTTCCATAACTATGGCAAAATATCTGAAGCTCATCGAGGGAATACATGATAAGGAAGTATAAAACCATTCTTTGAACAATTTAACACTAGAATGGAGTAATACATTTTCCCACCATGATGATTGTAAGTCAAGTATTAGCGTAGGCATTGTAATCCTTCTAGGCTCTGCGTTTGGGATTTAGAACACTGGGAGACGGGTCAGAGGAGAGTCCTTTATGTGGAAGTGTTGATGAGCTATCCACTGTGTGGCCAGGACTCAGGTAGAGTAAGGAAAGAGATCAAAAAGTAAAAGACAAAGTGCTTTACCACAAAGAACATCTCACATAACTGGAGAGATGAGACTCACAGGGAAAAGCATTTCGCTAACAGCAAGCATCATAAGAGTCTGTAATCAAGTGCGTAAGTTGTGTGCTTTAGAATAAATGGGAATCCAGAAAAGGCATGGGATGATATGTATGGGCCTGAGTCATGGGACAGTGTTTTAAGAAGGAAGTTTGTCTTAAGTTAGCCGTTGAAGGATAGCTGTATTTTGGATTTCTAGAGAGAAGGTGATGGAGGAGCATTCCCAATAGAGGACATGGCAGGATCAAAAACATGGGGACAGAAATAATTCTGGGGCACAGGAAAGATGAGCTTGGATGGAGTGTAAAACTTGTGCCAGGAAAGTAGTAGGGGATAGGATAGATGTGGGCAAGTTAGTAGAGGGCCTTGAATGCTCAGCTGTAGAATTGAAACACAATCCCACAGCAATAAGATGAGTTGGGCATATTGGAAAGATTAATATGGAAATACTGGATGGGTTGTGTAGTGGAAAGGACAAGGAGAAGACTTGAGATTGAGATCCCAGCTCGTAGACTGTTACAGTAATTAATGTACTGATTGGGGTAGGGAGGGGGTAGGTAGAGAACTGAAATTTAAGATTACCCCCCCCCAAAGGTTATTGGGAGTGGGAGAAGAAAAAGCAAAGCTTCATTGACTATGTAGAGCAGTGGTTCTCAACCTTGTGAATGCCGCGACCCTTTAATACAGTTCCTCATGTTGTGGTGACCTCCCAACCATAACATTATTTTCGTTGCTACTTCATAACTATAATTTTGCTAATGTGATGAACCAGGCGAGCCCTAGGAAAGGGTCGTTTGACCCCCAAAGGGACCTCGACCCACAGGTTGAGAACTGCTGATGTAGAAATGCGTATCATGTGCTACGCAGGAGCCCTGGTGGTGTAGTGGTTACATGTTGGTCTGCAATCCGCATGGTGGGTAGGTTTGAAACCACTGCAGCTCTGCAGGAGAAAGAATGGGCTTTCTACTCTCAGAAACAGTTATAATCTCAGAAACCCACAGGGGGTCACTATGAGTCGGCATGGATGCCATGGCAGGGAGTTGAGAGTTGTTTTTTTATGTGCTAAAGGAGCCCTGGCAGTGTTGTCAGGTTGGTGTTAGATTGCTAACCACAGAGTAGCGGTTTAAACCCACCAGCCATTCCTCGGGAGAAAGAAGCTCTCTGCTCCCATGAAGATTACAGCCTTGGAAGCCTTATGTAAAGAATCGCTGTGAGTGTGAATGAACTTGATGACAGGGGGTTTGAGGGGTTTTGTTTTGTTTTGTTTTGTTTTCTGTTTTCCTTGGGGCTCATGTGCTAAGGACCCCTGATTAAACTACTAACCATCAGGTTGGTGATTGAAACTCACCAGCTGCTGCTGGGAGAGAAGGCTATCAGCTCCCGTATAGATTACAGCCTCAGGCATCCTACATTAGGGTCACTATGAGTCAGAGTCATATCGATAGCAATGGATTTCTGTTTTACTTTTGATTTTGGATCATGTGCTAAGACTGTTTTTCATTTGGATAAGAGAAAAATAGCTAGAACTAGGGGAATGTCCTAATCATTAAAGTTAGGAAATACTAAAATGGGGTATTATCATGTCCCTTATTCTGCAACTTAGAAATCTATCAGAACCCCATAGTCCTCTTCTGATTGGTGATAAGAGGAATGGGTGAAATGACACGTAATGTTTTTTGCAGCTTAGAGACCCAAGCTTTATATTACCTTCCCCCACCCCACAAACACATTCCTGATACTTAGACATTGTACCACTTGTCTTTGCAGATTTTCACACCAGACACTGCAACAAACACCCATGATAGGTACCATGGCTCCACTGAGTGCCCAGGGAGTCCAAGCAGGCGTCCGGTCAACTGCCATCTTGCCTGAGCAGCAACAGCAGCAGCAGCAACAACAGCAGCAGCAGCAGCAGCAGCAACAACAACAGTA